TTTAAAATGAGTTGAAAAGTGTTTATTTGAAGGAGAGCGGAAAAAACACTTCTCCTATAAATGAATAAGAGTTTTACCTTTTATTTTATTTTATGGTTTAAATTACACTATACCACATTCATGTCAAATTATAGAGCAAATTACAATGTCCCATACTCACCTATCTTACTCTCATCAAATAATTAAAAATTATGCAACACATTTATAAAATGAAAATTTTTAACTTGTATCTTAAAATATATTTATTGTATTTTTAATATTAATTTATATAAAAATAATAAAAATTAATTTTAATTTAATTAAAGGTTTTTCTAAGACACAAGTTAACTGTCTTGAAAAAATAAATATTGACATTTAATTTATCATTCATTTAATTAAATTTATTCAAATGACAATAACTTTAAAATTAATATCAACTTTTACATTTTTTTATATATATTTATACCAAAAAAAATATTTTTAACTTATGTTTTAAAAATACAAAATTAGAAAATTTCTTTAATTAATTATCTAATTAAATTATTTTATATGATATTAATATTAAAAATAAAATTTTATGTAATTTTTTATATAATTGAATAACAATAAAATAAAATAAATATACATATTAAAAAAATTCTTATAAAATTAGTAATAGGAGGAAGAGAGCACAAAAAATTTAAGACATACACGTGGCATTAGGTTATTGGAGTGTATTGGGGACAACGTCAGCATGACCAGTCTTTGGGAAGAAGAAGAGAGGAAACGGGGAGCCAATGAGAGAGAGAGAGAGAGAATAAAGAAGTGGTGGCAACTGGCGGGAACATTAAGCGAGTGATGCCACGTGTCAATCATGAACACTGTATCTAAATCTAAGGCGTCGTTCAAGGCTTTGAATGCAAAGCAAAAAAGTCATTACCAACTATTTTTTCCTCAGTTAGTTATTCTTAACATAGTTTTTTTTATAAGTGAAATGATTTTTATATAATTTTTTTATTTTTTTTATATAATTTGATATGTTATTAAAATAATTAATTTTTTTAATTTTTATAAAATTTATGATATTAAATATATTCATTTATTTAATAATGTATAAAAATTATATAAAAAAATAAAACAAAAAAATTATTCATATAACACCATTTTCTCTTGTGGAGACATATGAGTGTTAAACTCATTTTCCCTAGTTTAATCAGTTAATTTTTTTCTTCTTATTATTTGATTTATTTAATACTGAGAAAAATCAACGTGTATTTACAATTAAAATATTAGGATTGATAGTGAAAAAAATAAAATATTTTTAATAAATTAACATATACAAAAATTTATTAAGAGTATTTGAATAATTTTTTTAAAAAAAACCTTAATATTTAAAGCATCAGCATATCTTAACTTTAACTCTTTTTAATATAAATATAAAAAAAAATTTTCTGACGTGTGGTTTAAGTACACGTATTAAAAGTTTTAAAAAATAAAAAATAATATTTAATTTATTAATTGTTTAATAAATTTATTCACATGCTATTAACTTTAAAATTTATATTTATTTTTATATTTTTTTA